CAACTTTTGAATACAACTAAACAGTTATATAAGTTACTAATACACTGTCAACTTTTGAATACAATTAAACAGTTATATAAGTTACTAATACACTATCAACTTTTGAATACAACTAAACAGTTATATAAGTTACTAATACACTGTCAACTTTTGAATACAATTAAACAGTTATATAAGTTACTAATACACTGTCAACTTTTGAATACAATTAAACAGTTATATAAGTTACTAATACACTGTCAACTTTGGAATACAACTAAACAGTTATATAAGTTACTAATACACTGTCAACTTGTGAATAGATAGTTCTATAACGTATAAAGACACTTTCAATCTGTACAGATATTGGAAATGTATTGTGTAGTATATACGTGATAAGAACACGTGTGTGTTTAAGTATCAGTTCATGATATACACGAAGTAAAGACCACAAGTTAGAAGGAGACTCTATAGTTTATTTTTCTCGTCCGAACATTAATCACATGAAAACTTCGGCTAGGTGGTATATCCATACAAAATGGACCAAACGTTAGCAAGATTTTATGTACAAAAAGTTAACCCTTTTTTTTCCAATTCTTCCCAAAGTAACAAGCACATTATAAGACAGATTTAAGTACGGAGAAAGCAAACCAATACTGGACAAAGATGAAAGGAAAGGGGTGTAAAAGTCCATGGTCCAGTTCGTTTGATGTAGAGTTTAGTGAGATCCTAAGATTGTGTCTGTAGATTAAAGTGTGGACGGGCTTCACTGCCACTACTGCTAATTTGGGTCTGTTTTTTTCAAGAAAGAGGACTTAGCGATGAGCATCGGGTTACTGTTGGAGAAGAAACAATGTTCTTACCCGAAATTTCTTGCAGAAACATGTGCACACAATCACGTGACAAACATTTGTTCAGAAAAGGCAAGGTGGATAGAAATACAACCGTATCGGTTTTTACCTTAGGTAAGTGAGCATTATGAGTGTTGTGAGTGTTGTGATTAACGGAGACTAGCTCTCTCTCTCTCTTTCTAAACCTTCGGTCAATGTGCGATTTACGACAACCATGGTGACCACGGGTCAACCAGGACACTGGAATTTCCTGATTGTGTAACCTCCAACTCGGTGCTTGAAGTACGATCCCTGAACTAACAGGCTAGTTTTAGTGCTGTCAATCCTTAGCCTATTACTTCAGCTGGACTAACAACATTTGCAATAGGGGGAGGATAGAAAAGTAAATTAAATTTATTTTAGGTTACCTTATGAGCATTTGAAGTATGACGAAAAACGACAAGGAGCTCCTACCAATATTAGCATAAACATGAGTATCAAATATACCTTTAATAAATATCCCCCCCCAGGCATCAGCTAATTTATACACCTCATTTAACGACCCACTCCCCCTGTTCTTAGAATTATTGTACATGATACATCATTTTAATGGTGTTTCTTTTTCAAGCTTGACCATCCAAACACCCCCCCCCCCACCGTCTTTGTAGTATATTTTCACACTTTCTCCCTGGTATTGGTATCTGTACACCCCTCTCCTGGTTTTGATATTTGTACACCTCTCTCCTGATCTTGATATGTGTACACCCCCTCTCTTGGTCTTGATATTTGTACAACCCTCTCCTGATCTTTATATTTGTACACCCCCTCTCCTGGTCTTGGTATATCTATAGAAGTTAACTAACTCTTTACGCGTAGTGTTATTGTATATAGTTCAAGAGTATCCCACTATTGTTCCTAAGGCTGTAGCTATATTTTGGTATTACTATACTCCATAGTCTCTTAGGGTTTATACGTAATTTATCTTCATCGTATCACAGTTTTTATATTCTTTCACTATCTGTTCTTCTCAAACCTTACCCAATTATAACTCACAGTTTTTATATTCTTTCACTATCTCTTCTTCTCAAACCTTACCCAATTATAACTCACAGTTTTTATATTCTTTCACTATGTCTTCTTCTCAAACATTACCCAATTATAACTCACAGTTTTTATATTATTTCACTATCTTCTCAAACCTTTCCCAATTATAACTCACAGTTTTTATATTCTTTCACTATCTCTTCTTCTCAAACCTTACCCAATTATAACTCACAGTTT